GAGCAGACAGAAAGCAACTGCTAGAGAAGTGCATGAAGCACCACAGTTGAGTGCCAGCTACTGCTCCCACAGATGGCCAGACTCCTGGAGACATGTCTGGAGGGAGAACATCTCACAGGACAGTGCAAGAACCCAAAAACTTGTTTCAGAACAAGGTGCAAGAAACCTCATGGGTGTTCGGGATGATTTAACTACACTACATTTCTTCTCTCTCACTCCTGACCACTCTTGGCACTTACTATCGACTGCTTAAATGCATCCTTTCCAATTTAGAAACCCCTTCCAGAACTGCTAGGAATTATTTTAATTTTATGTTTTAGTCTCTGTTTCATTTGAGTGAGCTGTGTATATTTTCTTCCTGACCCTTTTTGGATGGTAGACTTTTCCTGTACATTTTGGTGTATATCTTTGTTTCTAAAGTGAAATATTTTGCATTGTGGTTTAGATTTTACAATAAAATCTGGTAAATCTGGGAATTGTTTTTACACTGAGTTGTCTAGTGCTAGTGCTCTCTTAATTCTAGTTTATATTTTACATTAATATTTTCTGTTGCAGAAGAAGTCAAAATGCTTGACAATTTGTAAGCCACAAAAGCTGTCATTACTTGTGGGAAGTAGCAATGATCTGTGACTTGTAAAATGAGTGTGATATGTTTGTTTTGCATTCAGAATTGAGCAGTTTGATTGAATTGCATTGATGACATATTGTATCTGACTTTTAAACTTCCTGAGTCTGAGTAAATTCTTTTTTGGAAACATAACAACTCAAATATGTATTTCATTTTCAAGACAGGCCAAGTTTGACTTTATGAAACCTTTGTGTAGGAAATCATGTTAAATAAGGATTAAAGTTATTCTTTATCAGTGATGTCCTGGGGCAGATAGCTGGTTTGTACAAATTATTCTCTCTCCACTGTTAGCTGCCTTCATAAGCAGGAAGTGGCTGGTAGTAAAAATTAGAATTTGATGGAAAAAGCATCAACAAGAAAGTGTTTGAAAGTGAAAGGCAGGCAGATGCATATTTATAAGTAAGCTTCATGGGGTTTTTTTAACTATGTGGGTGATTAAAGAGTATTATTTTCTATTCTTGAGAAACTGTATCTGCAGTATATATATGTGGGAGACTACCTCCTCGTGTAGCTCCAAGTCACACCTCTGCACCTTCAGTCATTCTCTACTGTTTTGCTTTAGCTGTGGGTGGAACAGGTCGGAAAGGAAGGACGTGGATTCCCGTCTTCCCATTAAAAATAGACTTTGGGCTTAATGCAGCACAGCGGGATGGAATGACACGTATTGCGTGAGGAGCGGGAAAGGTGACAGGAGTCCCTTAGTTACTGAAACTTAGCAGTGCACCAGATCAAGTGGCCCCACTGTGTTCTGTTGCAGCGTGCAAATTGTTCCTTGAACATGCTCTTCCCATGTGAAATGCTTAGAAACCTTTTGCAAATGAAACTAATATGAAGTGTGTTGTCGTTTTGTGTCTTGTTTCTGTGCTGGTCACTATTTACAGCTGTTGATTAAAGGGCTTCTGGAACAAGATAAACGCTGTTGACAATTCAGCACAGCTGAGAGTAACTGCTTAAGATGTGCTCTTGGTTCAGATGACTGCAGCTTGAGATTTTCTGGCATGCATGAATGATTCAGGTGCCCTGAGGTGTCTGAGGACTGATGTGATATTTGAATAACAGGAGTAATCTTCAAATCATGGAGGTTAACACTGCATTTCATTATGGTTTCCTTTTTTGTTTTACACTTACTTGCTGGGTGAAAGAACATAGGCAGTTTTGGTTTGTTGATGTACTGGGGAATCCTTAACATGCAGAAATGAGCACTGAATTGCCTGGATGCCTTTGTGATGAACCTGATAGTTCCTTTTCTATAAAATAAAACAATGTAATTGAACTGTATTTTAACTGCATCAGGTGACCCCAAAACATTTTTCATCACAGACTGTTGTGCATATTAAACCTCAGTTGTTTCCATTAGTTGCTATTGTAACTCTGTGTGAAAAAAAATCTTTTATCTGTTCAGGGTTTTTTTAGCTCCCCTTAAAGCATTTAGACAGATAGCAGCTAGAGTAAAAACATGCAAAATAACTGAAGTTGCAGAGATGCAAGTTTAAGCTATATTAAGAAATCAGCATTCTCCACTTGTAAATATTGTAGATGTAGGCTTTGAAGAGCAGAGACCATTAAGCTGCATTTACCTAAGTCAGTGCAAATCTGGGATAACTCTGTTAAACTTGAAAGTTCAGTAAAGAACAAATTTATAGCTGCTTTACACGTGGTTATTTCTCTATAGAAATCTTTGCTCTTAAAATCTCTTCATTGACCATTCCATTTGTGCCAGCCATTCTCATTCATACCCTTTCAAGGCATTTTGAAGTATCTGTATCAGTTCTAACAGCTCACCCCTCACTGTGTCTTTTGCCACGAGCAGATGCTTATGGAGAGTGGTGAAAGGGGGGTTCTTTTGCCTTTATGGAAAATCTCTTTTACCTGCCTGAAATACACGTTTATTAAAGGATAAAAGTCCCCCCTCCCTCCAGAAAGCATTAGAGTGCCTTGGGCTTTGACTGGTATTTGATGTGAAGTTTCACTGTTCATAAGCAGTTCTTGCTTCACTGCTCTTCAGCAGATGACTGAAAGCTGAGAGTATTTACTTGTTGGGTTCACTTGCCTGATGATGGGAAACAGCACCAAAATGTCTAAGACGGCTGTTACCATTTCTCCTTTTTTTACATTATTAAAGGAGAGAAAAATGTAAAGAAAAAAGGCTGGGTTTCAGATTAATTTTGTGATTCCTTAACCTCAAAATGCCTAATTGCATTATATTCCAGGAGCAAGTGTGCTGCCAAAATATCACGATCATTTGTACTACCAAAGACACCATTTATTTTGAGTTACTGCTGCTTTCATCTTAAACCTTGCTGAAAGACAAGTTTCCTCTAGGTAACATCAATCCAAGGAGCTTGACAGAGGAAGTGTAGATATTATTTTATTGTCTCTGGGGCCCTCTACATTATATATATTTTTTATATATGAAAATGTCATGCATGTGTATGGATGTGTGACCCCTGTGAATTTTAAGTTGTTTTTCTGGAAATCGGTTTGCAAAAATTTCATCATGCATTCTGGAATTTATATAAAGAACTTTTTTAAATTCTCAAGCTTACAAAGAGATGCTTAGAAACATGTAATAACTGGCACTATGTTTTTTTGAGTTCGGGTAATTTGTTTTAGGTTTTGGTTGTTTTTCTTTTTTTCCAAAGATGTGTGCTCCAGTAAAAGTGATGTTGGTTTAATATAGATATTTCTGTTAAGGTTTAAAAAGCATCAGAGACACTTTTTGCATAGAAGCACATAAGCATCAGCTGTTAAGCAGGTGTCTGTGCTGGAGGTGGCTTTGGGTGCCTGGTGCAGTGCTGCTCTGTGGTGAGCAGGCTGTGTTCTGGGAGCCCAGGACTGAGGAGATGTCTCTTGGGAGACAAATGAGGTCACTGTGTGTTACCTGAAGAGCAAAAGGGTTGAAGCAAAAAAAGACAAAACGAAGGTGTCCACTATAGGAAGGGAAGAAGTGGAAGGAACCTTGTTTTTATTTCCACGCACTATTTCTTCAAGTACTGATCTGATTACAGCTCTGATTCTTCTTCTCTGTCACTACATCTTACATCTCAGCCTGTTATTACAATCAGACTGATATAAAGGAGCTTAGACCATTTTAATGAGGTGGTGTGTTTTGTTTTGTTTTTTTTTCCCTCTCATACCCTTTTAGTAATATATCTGTGTTATTTTGGGATGTCTTTGTCTTAAAACATGAACACCTTTTTACACTATACTGTTCCTGCCACTTATTGCTGTTGATAAACCAACTAAGAATTGCCTAGTATGTGAATGAAGGACATGTCATTGAGCAATCCTAACCATGATGTTGGGCTTTCCTGGTGTTTAAATGATAATAAGAAAGCAGTGGAGCTACCCTGGGAAATTAATAAATAAAAGGAAACTATATATTTTTATGTAACATTTTTACGTATCCTGTGGGAATCAGGAAGAAAAATGTGATTTGTCTTCTTATGGATTTACTCTCCAACTTAAGTCTCTTGACACTGTCACAACTGATATCCAAAAGCAAAGAAGTAAAGGAGGAATAAAGATAATTTGCTTGGAAATCCTGAAATCCCTAACAGATACTAATTTTTATCTTCCGGACAGTGTTTCAGTTTGCAGGTCAGCAGTGGTACCTGACTGTCAGTATTGTGACTAGTAAACAAGGAATTTAAAGCAAGGAGGTCTGCTCTTGCCAGGCAAGCCAGATTTTTTCAGAAAGCAGCCCCTTTGGAGAAGTTCTCTCTAAAGCTGATGAGATGTAGGAGGGAGGATAGATTTTTGTGTAGTTCTAGAGCACAAGGAGTTGAAAAGGAAGGAGCTCTTGAGAGGAGTGGAATAGGACAAAGAATATGAAGTTGCAAGCAGAAAAAAAATAACCTAGTCCAATGAGTTTAAAATAAAATCATTCTCTCTTTTAGGGCCAGTACAGACTTTATTATCAGGATACCACATGCCTGTTTTGAAGTGGTAGCACTGTTACTCTGCAGAGCAGACATCTCAATCAACTGATACACACTGTAGTCTTTGTGGTATTTTTATAAGATCTGGGGGTTTCTTTGGCCAGTTTTCACATATCTGTAACTTGATGAGATAGATAAGTGAGCTGGCTGACCCCTGATGAAAAGAAGCTTTTCTCTTGTGTTGGGATTCCATTTTAGGTTCTGCAATTTCAAAGTCATTCTGTAAAATGCTTCTCATGGGTGCCACTTATCAATAGAATTAAACCACTTCAATAGAGTAGCCCCTGAAATTGGGAAAATAAAAATTGGACACGTACTAGAGAAAATAAATTAACAAATTGCTGTATAATGCTGTTTAGTTGGCTTTGAAGAAGATCGCTTGCTGTCGGAAGGTGAATATTGACTGTGCTTTATGTTTTGTTTCTTGGCAGGTAACCCTGGACTGGCAGGTTATTACAGGACCTTTATACAGGCCTTATATTGTGGGCTAAATCAGCAATATCCCGTTTGGGTTGTGAGCCATGCTGGACATTGTAAGCCTCCTAGTGGAATGGAAATGATAGAAGGTACAATACTATGACTTGTGCATACAAGTATTTGTAAGCCTCCTTCCCTCCCCCTTCCCTGATTTCACTACTGGAACTTGTGCCTATTAGAAACAATATTACATGTTTTTTAAATGTCTTAATTATATTTCCACAGAAGAGTTGTAAGAGAAGTTACTGAGGAAAAGAGTATTTTTAGGGGAATTAGATTGGCCAGTCAAATAAGTGCTATTAAAGCATTTGCTGATGTAAGAGAAGTTACAGAGGAGAAGGTTTAGAATGCATTTGTGTTGAGAAGAGTAGATTAGAACAGTTCATTTTAAAAATGAAGTGTCCAATTTAGAGATGGAGTACTTGAGAAGAGACTGAAGTATCTCTGAATTTAAAAATAGTTGTACTAAGTCAGTGAATTTTCAGGGAGCAAGCAAATCTTTCTGAGCCTGGGGTATGGGGTGTTTGCAGGATAGAGGTTCCTTGTTTAGCTGTTAAAACTTTTGACATGCAAATCACCAGCAAGACATGGTAGTCAACTCTAAGGGAATATTGTTCATGTGCAGCATTGTAAGATGGGGGGAGCCAATAGTGAATCTTGTCCTGAAAGTGTCAGAAGAGCTCTGGACTTGGTCCAGCTGCAGTGATGTTACAGTAAAGCAGTAGGATTCCCTAGGATCAAAAGGTTCGGCAACATGAAGCGACTTAAAAGTTTTGAAGAAGAAATTGTTTTAGATGTTTAGCATAACTTTCCCTCACTGACCTTTGCATCCCAGCTTTTAAAGACTTTTTATTTAATCTCAAGTTTGAAACTGAAACATGAAACTTGTATTTCTTTGGTGAAATTCATTCCAGACACCATGTTCCAGAGTCAAACTACCAAACACTAACACTTGCTCCTGATAGAGGAGAAATCCCAAGGTGTAGAATTTCTGGTACAATGTTAACCATAGCATACAGGTAGGTGCTTCTGATGGGCATTTCATAATTCTTCATTTGAAATAGCCTCTTGCAGGTCCTGCATCCTCAGTATGTCTTGATAAGAAGGATGAGGGCATAAATTGACAAAGACAACATTTCGATCTCTGACACCTGAGATTTTTCTGATTGGAATCCATCAAATGAAAATAAGGGGGTGGAAGCTAATATGAAAGATCAATTCATACTGATTCATGTAGAACAAGGTTTTTTGATCAAGCACTCCTATAAATAAATAATTTCTATCAGTAAAAATTTTTTCATCATGCACCCAAATATATGTGTTTTTTAAATTAATACAAATTGCATCCATATGTTACTGAATTGCTGATATTTTCGTCCTGCATCCCACTGTGTGCACCCCACTTTGGAGACCACTGATTTAGAGTGTGCAAGTATAATAGCACACTTAACATATAAATTATGCTGCCTGTAAAGTAATAAAGGGTTTTAAATGAGAGAAACTGTATAGGAATAATATGCCTAGTTATATGTAGATCAAGTAGGTTTTGAAACTCTCAGAAAGACTAAAGCAAGTTTTCCAACAGCAGCTATCAATCACAGACTACCTCCTAATTTTCTGGAGACATGTCACATAGTGATTGGAGCACTGAACAAAGCTACACCCTTCATTTTTACTTCTCTGTGACCTCCTTCTATTCAAAGAGCTCTTGCAAGCTGTGCTGCACAAAGACACACACCATCCATTGAGCATTGCATTGCTGTAATTCTGTTCCCAGCAATAGATCCACTGTGCAAAAAGGTTTGAAACTTATTTTTACTCAGTGAACACAATAAAAAAGTGATGCCTCAATTTTGAGTTCTTTATTCTTCTCCTTAGTGTTTTAAAAAGCAGTTGTTTCAAACCTGGTTCCATGAACACTTGTGACTGTAAATGCCCACATCAATCTTTAGATGTAAGCAAAATTACAAAAAGGAGAGGAGTTTCCTAGCTCTCAGTTATGCTTTTTAAAACTGGCATAGACTATATATGCTTTAAAAATGTTCATATAATCTTACAAGTGTTGCTTTTTCTTTTCAGTGCCTGATACTGGGACTTTGATTTGTAGGTTTCCTAATAATTCATGTGTTTGTGGTTCTTGAACAGATGCTGCCTACAAACAGGTTCTTTCATAATACCAAATATAAAACCAAAACCTTGCTTAGTTTCTCTGATAGTTCACCGTGCCAAATATACTATGATGGCATTTTAAATCTTTTTAAGATGCAGGTATTTGTATGTAATTTCTACCTTATAAAGGCCTGTTTGTAAGAAAGGAAAAATATATATACTAATAGATCATAATTAAAAGTAAAAATAATAGGCAGGTATAGATTTGTTCTCTTAAATTCTGAACTCCTTTTAATATGTCACTCCACTGAAGAATTTGCATTACACTTCTTTTGAGATTTCTTATTTGATAACATATTGTCCTACATCTTAGCAAGTAACTTACTAGATGCTGTGAGGGTTTATTTAAAGTGCAAGTTATTTTTCCCAGTATGAATGTGGAAGAGGTTCACTATAGCTCAGTGCCATTGCTGTCAAAACAGGCTACTGCCTGCACACTTGTATCTGTAAGTTAGTATTTTCCTCAGGATTAAGTGGATGGTGTTTTGACTTAGAAATTAAAGATAAATAATTAAGGGTAAAAAAAATACTCTGTATTTACTCACACATAAATTATTCTGTCAAAATGCCAGTATAGCTTCTCAGCTTGTAATACATTGTGAACTGTGGAGATTGAAGCTCTAAATATCATGAAATCCAGTTGAGTAGAAATACTTGAGTACTGCAAAAGGTCTGGAGACCCATGATTAGGAGTAGTTCTTCTGATGACAATGAATAGTAGCCAGCTGAAAGCTTTTCAACAGCCTTTCAACTTATTTTGATAGGAAACAAAGTGCTAGTTAAAACTAACACACTTCAGTGAACAAATCCTGAAATTACTCATTGCTTATTTTATATGCATTGCTAACTCAATTGCTGTGGTTATCCCTCTGTAAAGTAAGGACTAAAAGACTCATTCTCACCCAAAATATCTTTAAAAGCTTTGGAAAATGGGAGATGATTTAGGAGACCCTTGACACTCTGTCCCTTTAACACATCCCTCACCTCCCTTTTTTAGCAGCCTGGTTGGCTTTTGCCAATAAAGGTTGTGTAGACAGCAGGATGTTCATACATAGCCATGTCTTAGAATGGTCTAATTCTGTGGACCTTTGCTGTGGTTTGATGAGAAATAAAAAATATGACATCTTGGACAGAAATAAGAATAGAAGAGGTCTGGTTTGGTTGTGTTCTTCCTCTGGACCACCAAGATACTTTTATTTGTAGTGAAGTAAGCTTGAGAAGTAAAGAAAAATGAAGTCAGAATTACAAGATTTATTGATTTTTTGGTAATATTCCATGTATGCCAAGTGCTACAGAAATATGAAGTAGTATGATTCATATCTTAATTGATCAAAGAGACAGAATTTATGCATTAAAATGTCATATACCTAATAAGTGGCCAGATATCAGCCATACCTTAATGGTACAATATTTGGTCACATGATAAACTGTATTAAAGATAAATCTCTAGAACTTTCTAAACTCTACAGATGAGGATTGAGCTCTGCACATTCATAATGCAAATACTTTTTAAATGTTTTAGCAAGTTGTGTTTAACCTTTGGAACAGATTACTGAATTTTCTGGGTCTTTTTCTCAATCAGTAGTAGGTAGTTTTGAATGACAGGAAAGTGGGAGTGACAGGCTTGATAGCCAAGTTACAAATAAAATTCTAATTTGACCTTTTATGTCCCATGGACTGTGGCCTTAAAATCTATTAAACTATCCTACAGTTCATTTTTCTTGTTAAAAAGAGGTAGGTACATATTGATTTATAGTCCATCAGAAGAGTGTTTCCATTGTTTTTTCTTCATGCAAGGAGATGGGGCCTTCAGACCTTTTTGAAACTGAATTACGTCCTTGAGAAGCAATAAGGGGAAAAGAACAGAAGTGGTTGAAGGATAATAAATTACCTATGAAGACACTGACTGTGTGATCTTAAAATGTTAATGTACCATGACTGTGAATTTTTGAAGGTTTGTATTAAAAAAAATAAAATGTTCTAGAGTTACAGGAAAATTTGGAAGCCATGCACAGCTTGTTTTTATTTTATATCTATTGCTACTTTGCTGTTGTTAACATTCATCTGAGTGGAGTTTGCTTTAGCAGCCACAGCTTTAGCTACTGTGAGTGAGATTATTGCTCTAGCTAAAGTGGTATAAATCTACCAAAAAAATTACTGGAACAATTTGAGTAAAACCAAATTTATGCTTCAGCGGGTTAATCATCTCGTTGACTGATAGATAGTTGACCACCAAATGTCAGAAGTGTGAGCATGATTAGCATACGTGAGCTAGAAGTTTCTACCACCATTATATGCTGTGCAGGCAGAAGAAAACCTAAAATAGTAGCCTGAGCAAGACAAGGAGCATGGTGTGCTATAATAGGAGTCTTATGAGTTATTTAGGACAGTGATTCCCAACCTGTGGTCTGTGGGCCACTAGTGGTTCCCAGGACACTTGCTTGTTTTCCAAGAAGAGCTGGCTGATCAGATGGGGTTGGCTCTCTCATGGTTTTCCACTTGCTAAGTGGAATTGATGGCAAAGCTAAGAATACTTTTCCAATAACACTTTTTTGTGTGTGTCAGCTTTTGCTGTGGTGGCCTCAGAGATGTTGTGCGACCGTGAGCATGTGGTGGTGGCAAGGGGTGGGGTTGTGGTCTGCACTGCTGCAAACAGGAGAGGAGGAGATCGTCAGAGTTGGGTGTTCCAAGAACTGGGTTCCTAAAAATAGAGACTCAGCAACAGCCTTTGTCCTTGTTGTTTATAACCCCAAAGGAGTGAAGTTACGCAAGGGCACGGGGAATCAGTATCTTCTTGATAATTTTGTTTTAAGCTATATGGATGTTTTGAATGATTGGTGATGCTGGAGAATACCTGCACTGCTGAAACAGGTGGATCAGAGCTGTTTGCAGTCTGCTCAGTCAGTACAAAATCACCTCA